CTTTGTGATTGGGGGGTCCCACCAGGTCCTTGTGTAACTGGCAGGATAGTCCCCATCTTTACGGTTATGCATGTGGTGTTGGACTCTTGTGTTAATTGTTAGTTGGGGGGTCCTTCAGGTCCCAGTATACAGAGACGGCATTAAGTAAATTAGTTTCATTTTTCGGTGATACTGAGAAGGAAGAAATATAAAGATAATTACAGATATTTAACATATTTTTAATGAGGTTTTGTTCTACACTCCATTTTTTTTTTTACTTATCACAGTCAGTTTATAATACAGTTAAACCTCCATATAACGGACTTCTCTTTCCATATAATCTAGAAGATATGGGGGTTTCACATTTAACGAACCCTCGATATAACGGACTTTCCTTTCCATACAGTCCGTTAAACAGAGATTTCACTGTTTATGCATTCATGTTTTTACCTGTATTCTAACGTAGGTCATAAAAATCACTGAGAATTGGAGGGGACTAGTGACAAATTTCAAAACACACAAAACGATGAAGAAAAAACGTATTATTACAGTAGTATAATATTAATGGGAAACATTTATAAAAAGCACTTTACCTTGGTGTTGATTATATACAAAACTTCTTTAAGACCATCAGCTGAATGTAAGTATGTAAACACTGGGTAAGGAAGGATGTCTGTCTACTGTACATCACATGGCGGGTTTTTGACTAGGGTTTCTCCTTCACTCACGGACTTTCTGATGGAGAACACAGGGGCAGATATACGATTTTTTTTAAAGGAGTAAAAACGTAATATCGCCAAATAAAGACTAGCTAATATTAAGAGTAGATAAATAATAATTATCAATCCTTTGTTTCATTGAAGGAATATGTCTATCGGGTGTTTATGATGTTTGAAATTACCCAGAAAAAAATGCGGAGTAATACACATTTTATCGTAGGACTGTAGTGATCCCTACCTCTCTCTTTCTCTCTCTCCTAATTCTGTTTAAAGTTATTTATAAAGTCTCTTGATAATTTCCATGCCCAAAACACTGATGTAATGGATACTCTCCCCTACAACTGTCGCTGACCAGCCAATCCCGCGGAGTTTTTCTCAGTGAAGCCTCGCTGTCTGACTGTGCGGGGTAGGCGGCCGACCCCGCAGCTACGCTTATTTCCGGCGGACTCTTATATAAGCCCACAGCCTCGCCGTGAAGTGCATTCTACCTAGAGCCCTGCAACACGCAACGCCTCCTCTAAAGAAGCTCCTGCACAGCAACTCCTCTACCACGCAGCAACTCCCCAGTACAAGATTGTTTTGTATATAATATATTTATATAAGAAAGCCACCATTAAGAGTTTCCCTTCTCCAACCCATCCTGAGTGCAAGACGTCATAACGTTGACACTACACTGGTAGATATACTCCACCACTTTTTTCTGTTTTGGTTGAGATTTGCAGTGTCGGGACTAAACACATATATCAAGGAACTTGGTAAACACCTTGAATTTATAGCATCACGAAGAACATATTTAATACGTGTGTACACTTCCAGCAGTCGATGGAATATGATAATTGGAATCTTCGCTTAATAATACATACTGCTGTTAAGAGGAAACATATGAAGGATATCAGTATTCAGAACACATTAAGTCACATGTCTGTTACGAAAGCCAAACGGACTCACTGGCATGAAGGAATTTCTGCTAAAACTATGAGCACTTCATGTGAAAACCTGCATTATGAATAATATCTGCAGTAATGGAGTTCAGACCCTCTGTAACTGTCCAGATTATTGGAAGTTCAGTGGCACATGTTGCACTAAAACCAGGCTTTGTCAAGTACCCTGAAAGATATTTTTTTTACTTCTCGAAGTACCACAAAGATCTATCACTCGACGATACAGGTGAAGGGGCTGCCGGGTAAGTGTTGACCAGCCCAAGTGATGACGACGTGGTAGTGTGCAGATGCGGTCACCTGGAACTGCACCTGGTACACCCCGGGGGCTTCCTCCAAGGGGTACACCTCGGTCCCTGACACAGACCTCTCGTAAGGTCCTTCCACACTCACCGTCACCTGCATGCAAATATTCACTGATAAACAATAATAAATCTACGTAACTCTACCTTTTCTAATAATGATGAGAACATTAAAACATGATTGAGTTAAGGTGCTTCCACACTCATCATCTACTCAAGTATATATATAGAATTTACTCAGTTTATTCATAAATTAGTTATACGGTATATCTATCTATGCATAGCCTCTCATTCACCTTTTTCTATTACATTTAATATACAGGGTGATTGTTAATTGGGTACCTCTCCCTGATCCCTCACCTCTCCATGGCCCTACCACCTCTCCCTGATCCCATCACCTCTCCATGGCCCTACCACCTCTCCATGGCCCTACCACCTCTCCCTGACCCTACCACCTCTCCCTGACTCTACCACCTCTCCCTGACCCTACCACCTCTCCCTGACCCTCTCACCTCTCCCTGGTCAGCTTCCACAGTGTCGATGAAGAATGTGTTGAGCCCCGCGACAGTTCCCCTCTGGAGACCTTCACCGTATGCTCGACACCCACACGGTCTTCTGTCCTCACTTCGCCTGCTCTCTCCTTCATCCTTGTCTCCATCCTTCGCCTCCTCGCCTTCTTCACCATCTCCCTCTGTCTCCTCTCCTTCACCTTCTTCCTCCTCCTCTTCCTCGGAAAACTCTACCCTCGCCTCATCGACCATTGCAAAATCTTTCACGGGCATCGCATCCGGATATGCCCGGGAAGTTCTTGCAGCTGTAGTCTTGGAACCCGACTCCAAATACTTCCCCTTCCCCTCACCATCAGACGGCAGTGGAGCGCTGTCTGACGATAAGGTGAGACTCTCATTGCTGTTGTAGAGCGAATATGTGTTGTGTTCGTTGGGAACTTTCTCTGGTTCCTGCATGAGGCGTGCGGTAATGGGGTCCATAGGGTGGAAGGGATTACGGATTACGTAGAGTGGAGACCCTAAGTCCTGGGACGGAGACGGGGAGCGGGACAGGGACTCACAGGTCTGTAGGAGCACCAGTGACTCGGGGAGACTGGCGCGACGGAGTTCCCTCAAGGAGATGAGGTCCTCCTGGCCACTCGTCAGGGCCCTGGTGAAGGTCCTCCTCGACCCACTTACTGGTACATGGGGAAACTCGCCCCTGTAGCACCCACTCAGAGTCTGGATCACCTGCGGGGGTAAGACAAAGCTTTAGGCACAGTAAACAATAAACGCCTTAACAGGAGAGATGATTCAGTCTCAATTTAAAAGACTAAGTAGTAATTTTACCGCCAAGGATAATATAGTCTGTGTTCTTAATTCTGTACTGTGAATATTTGTCATGAACTTTGTTTAATGTGGGGAGAAAGTAGACAGGGTGATTCAGCAAAGAGTACATTAAATTGGAGGATGAAATCCTTGGATAATTCTAAACCACAATGTCTCTATGGTAAAATGTCACATTCTGCATAGTCTCCATGTTACAATACATTTAAGATGTTGTATTAATGAGAGTGAATTTGATGTGAAACCCCCATAGGTTTTTGTAATCATTTATCCACATATGTCTTGTGTACAGCGTGATACAGATGGCTGACACAGGTGCAATGAGACAGGGACCGTGTATGACCGAATGAGATAAAGGCAGTTACAGGGGGAGGGAGTTTCACATCAAATTCACTCTCATTAATACAACATCTTAAATGTATTGTAACATGGAGACTATGCAGAATGTGACATTTTACCATAGAGACATTGTGGTTTAGAATTATCCAAGGATTTCATCCTCCAATTTAATGTACTCTTTGCTGGATCACCCTGTATATCATTTGTCTATCAATATATTATCGATTAGTAGAAGCTATAACATTTAGATAAAGAATTATGTTAGTCTAATTTTCCTCCAAAGATCTAAATTACTTTCCCTGTTTAGTTACAACTAGAAATACTTTTACGTGGTTGTCTACGTTGACGTGGGAAGGGGGGGCAGACGGTGGAGATGGACGCTACTACTGGAGACAGAAGGGCTAGCAACCCCAAGGTCTCTGCAGACGGACCTCTTCTTGGGGGAAGTGCTGGAAGTCGTCAGGGTCGAGGTCTGCGAGGTCGTCGTGGTTCAGGGGATCATGGTGCCCCTCAGGGTAGACTGAGGGTAAATCCTTGGCAAGATCCTGAAGGGAAGCCACGAGGGAAGAAGGATTAGCTATCCCGAATTTGCCGGATTTGACCATGTTTACCCACGGGTCCCCTGACCATCCCTGATCTGCACCCGCATCATTAACTGTTCCTGAGGCGCCGAGAACCATCTGCTGCTGCTCCTGGACGAGGTGAGCGTCAGAGGTGGACAGAGAACGTTTCCTGCTCAAGGCGAGAGACCCATGTCGACGTCTATAAACACGCCGCTTCAGTTCTGGCATCTCCAGCAGGTCATACTGTCGGGATCTTTGAGACACGCGGCGTTTTAGCGGATTAATTAAGTCTTCCTGCGACACCTGTATTTCCCGGTCACAAGGTGAACTCGTTTCCTTTGTCCTGAATTTGTCAACATCGTCTTCGGGACTACTCTGACAGCCTCGGTTAACAAAGTACACACGCGTGCGAGATGGCATGAAATCCTCGAGCTCATCGTCCGTCTGACAGCCATGGTCAATCAGGTGAGATTTGTGCTTTATATTTTTCTTTGTTATGTTCGGTTCTTGTTTCTCAATCCATTGGTTGTTTGCATACTTAGAAATATCATCTGTTTGTATAAGAGCAATGAATTCGTTATCGAGAGGGCTGACCCCAAGTGTAGAGGATCTGCCTGAGCTGGGATCTGGAAGCTGTTCTTGTAGACCTGGAGTTGCGTCGTGTGTACTGAGCGGGTTGACTGATGGTGCAGATTTAACGCCTCGTGGGGAGGACATGGTACTGTCATCACTATAGTTCATTGTCTGCCCCAGAGGAGTAGTTGCCCTTTCTATACAGTGTGGATTAACACCAGGTTGAGGCACGACACTGGAGCCAACACGGCAGCTTTTGGTTGCTGTTTTGGCCTCGGGTTCACCTTCCCTCAGTTCGGTTTCAAACAGTCTACAAGCCGTGGCAAAGCTGCGTTTGTATTCCACATAATAATCGTCAATATCACACGTTTTATTCGCATCTCGGACGCTGAAATCCTTCGTGTCTTCTTCGTCACTCCGTACTGGTGATAAAGACTGTGAACTTCCTGTTGAAGACTCAGGCTGCTGAGTGGAGAGGCTTTGGGTGAGGGTCTGGACGTGCTCGGAGACAATCCATTGTGGGATGCTGGTCACTCCCGTCTTGGCTGCCTGCACCGTAGAAGCAGTAGCAACCAGCTGGTCTGCGTCACTTTTACGAGGGACGCGGCTGGTATCTGTCCCGACACACAAAGAAACATAAATAAAACACGAAAGAGAAAACATTTCCATTAATTACCTACATCATTATGCTGGATCAATGAATAATATAATTAAATTATATGAAACAAATACCTCTTTTGTTTAGCGAAGCGTTACATACAAAAAATTATTACCATGGGTATAAAATAGAATATGAATGATTGGTATATTGTAATCAAATCTAGGCAAACACCTACTTTTCCTCACACTATTTCTAGGATATCCATGACATCCACAGCCAGTTTCTGTTATTTTCTCTCACAACTTCTTGGAAACTCAGTGCTACTTCATTCCTTCTCCCCTCCCATCTCTCTCACTTCTCAACTCTGGAAATCCTAACTAACACACACTAGTCTCATTAGTGTCTCATCAGTCGCTGAGAAATAGAGGGACAGTCTCGTGGGATACAGAAGACAAGGGAACACTTACCGTGGGTACACTTTCCCTCCGAGCTCTGCCGCTGCTTCTGCTGCCTTTTGCTTCTTCTTGCAGGTTGTGGTCGCTCATCCAACATCTCACGATTCGAAGCCTGAAACTTCGAGATATTTCCTTCTGGAGTCTTCTGGCCATAAGTGATGCTCGGAGGTACTCCTTGAAGGTTCATATAGTGCTCGTTGTAAGTTTTGAGTACTAGCTCTCCCTCGATGGTGTTGTGCAGGATGTAGAGGAGTGTTTCTTTTCCTCGGTGTGATGGTGTTGCTGCTACAGGCGAGATGTCGTTAAATTGTTCTTCAGTAACTACTCTTATTATTGGCGGCGGCAACATGTCGGGTGTGGTACCTCTGGCCTGCTTATAGTTCAGAGAGTTCTTATTTTTCGGTTGAAGCTTTAATCTTTCCTCAGTTTCCTTCTGTATTGTTTTCTGCATTCTGGTCTCCCACAAGTTCCTCTGGCGGTTCACTTTTCCGAGGACAGAACTGACATATTCTTCCTCTAAGGCAACAGCTGACTGGTTATCATCCGACTCCAGTTTATGCTCGACACTTTCTATACTGTCGAGGCTCTCTGTGCTGATGGCGCTACCCAGGCTGTCGAATCTCTTTCTCCGCTCCGCCACTTTACCCTTGAACCCGCTCAGGTAATGCTGTGCTTCTTCGGGCGTCAGAGGCCTCTCGGGGATATCAGGAGGAGGAGAAGGAGTCCTGTATCTCTCCTGCTCCCAGAAGTCCCTCCCTTTCTGTACAGGCAATCCTATGTTCTTTCCGTAAGCTGATGGTGGCTCCTGGTGACTGTGGGGGCCTCGACCTTGATGAACATTCGCTTTGGGAAGACTTTGAACTTTGTCCAATATATGAGACGGGGATAACTGGTTCCTAAATTGTGCATCAGGATAACCTGTGGAAGTTTTAACAATCATTGGCGTCTGAGTGAACTTCCGGTGTGTAGGTGAGGATGATGTTTGTCTTAGCATTGGTGATGATATTCGTTGTCGTTTCCAAGTCCAAAACCCAGTCTTGGTGCGAGTTGTTTCCCAGTGAGTTTTGTATTTCTGCACTAGACCTTTCTGAATCTTCACACTCGTCTTTCTGCGAACTCTCGGTGGACTGTGATCTTCCTCTTCTGAAGAGTCATCTCGGAGTCTTGAGGAAGGAGTCCAACTTTTCTTAAAAGATTTGAGTCTCTTGCTCTTCCCAAGAGAGTCAACAGCTTGGGTTTCGGACTTCATCTTCCCTGATTGGATAACAAATTCCTTTCTTCTGGGACTCCCGACGTGAGAACCACCCGCAGGTTTTCGTCGTTTCTGAGCTCTTGTCTTTTTCCACTTGGTGTAATCATCTTCCTCCTGTGTTGTGTATTTTTCTCGGCTTGCTCTCACTGTTCCCTTCTTGATCGTGATGCTGAGTGTACGGCCCAGCGAGGTCTTGGACTCAACAACCTCAATGTTAGATTCATTTTCTTCATTTTTCTCCGACAATCTTTCCTTCAAAGTATATTTCCTTACAGCTATGGCGTGTTTCTTCGCCGTGTGGGTTCTGTCCTCTCTGAAGTCCTGCTCTCTCTTGGCAATGTATTCATCCCAGAAACCTTTCTTTTGTGCAACCAAATTCTTCTCGGGTTCCTCCTCGCTAATACAGGGAACCTTCTGTTCACCTTCAGCATCAGGACTTGTTGTCACTAAATTGGGATCAGCCGATGGAAGTTTGGAATTAATGTCAGTGATGGTGAGTCTAGTGTCTTGTTCGCTGCTTTCACACTCCACAACTTTTTCCTGCTGATTCACTGGTAATCCAAAGGTTGTTTTTGAAGCCTGTATTGTACTTGTCCAGGTCTGAGATTGGTTGATTTTAACATTTTCAACTTCTTTCTTGACAAACAGCTGATCCCAAAATTCTTTTTTCTGGGACACCAAATCCTTCGAGGGCGCGCTGTCTGACGTGACTCTGGTTGGTTCACTGCAAGCATCAGCCTTCGACGTCTCAGATGGAGGTAAAGTGTCTTCTGACTTCTCTTGTGTTGCTTCTCGATTCTCCTTTCTCTCTTGTTTTCTTTCACTCTTCATTTTTTCACTTACTAATATTACTTTACCCTCCTTTACTTCGCCCTGTCCCTTCTCGGTATTCATGCTATCCCAAAATGTCTTCTTTTGTGTTATTGGGTTATTGGTCGATGGCCGGCTGCCGGGAGACGCCTTAATCGAAATAGCCAGCTGACCATGACCCTCAGGTTGCTTAGGTGAGAGTATTTCAGGGGCGTCTACCCACATCTCCAGTTCCTCTGTCCCCTCCTGAACCACCAGTAGGTCCTGGTCCTCACTCAAAGTCTGTAAGGTCTGTGTCTCTCTGTGGGGCGACACTCCACGGAAGTCTGGGAAAGATACCGTAGGAAGTATTTCAGGGGACGATACATCCAGGGAAAACGCTTCGGGAAGTTCATCGGGGGACGACACTTCAGGAATTTCTTCAGGAGATGTTATTTCAGGATCTTGATAGAGGGAAGACACTCCAGAAATCTCATCAAGAAACGACCCTTCAGGAACTTCTTTGGGGGATAACGCTTCAAGAATTTCAGTCAATGGCACCTCGGGAATTTGAGAGAAAGATTCAACATCGTCTTCAACTATTCCTGAACAGCCTGGTGGAAGCTTCTGAGTCCAGGTACAGATTTCTGACTCACATTGTTCAGTCATACTTCTGTCGGGCAACTGTGGAGGACTAACAATTGGCAGCGCAGGAGGGTCATCATCATCTCCCTTTATGACATCTTTTACCTTGTTATTATCTTTCTCTTCTTCTCTCTTCTGATTCCTTTCTTTTTCTGTCTCTGATTTAATAAATTCCTTATGATTTTTATCTGAAAGTCTAGAATCCTGACTCACGGCAAGAGGTTCCTCCCATCCAAGGTCATCAGTGGACAGCATAGTGTCATAGAAGGCTCTCTTACTACCCTTGAGGACGTCATCTACTGGACTGGCCGAACCTTTTGGCTCAGGATACGAGTCTAGGATGTGTGTTTGCTCTTCCATCATTATATCAGATTGTGTTCTATCTTGCTGACAACCATCGACGGACTCCTCATCTCCAGCTTGTGTGTGTGTTGCCTCATCTTGTTTGTGCTCCCAGAAGTGGCAGGCAGTGCTCACCGACCCGGACAGGATAGTAACACTCAGCGGTCTCGTCAAGGCTGCAATATCCTCTTCTGGATGTGAGCCAAGTAAAGGTTTCTCTTCATCCTCGATTTTGACGGAAAGTTCTTCTTCTGGAGAGGATTGGAAGTTTGTTTTCACTGTCTCCGAATCTTCGCACATCATGGCATTATGAGTGGGTAATACGAGCTTGGCGTTAAGCTTCCACTGTCGGACATTTTCTCCCCGTGGTACATTCTCCTCCCAGGTGTTTCTCTTCAGCTGCACACTGCCTTCATAAGCTGTGCTGCTGAATGTTCTCACCTTGTCAGGGTCTTCTCCGGTTTCATCCTCAGAAAGAATAGTCTCTGGGATGCTTACTGTCTCACTACAGTGTTCTACTTCTGTTGAACTAAATTGGAATTCCCAAATTTTCGGCCTCTTTTCAGATCCAACTTTCTGCGTCCGTGGGAGGTCCTCTAGGTTCTCTGTCTCATTGTTCTCTAAATCTTCCCCTTCAAGTTCTGATTTTGCATGTCTCATGTGTTGGGTACAATGAACCGCCTCAGATTCTTGATGTCTCTCCTCCCACGCTTTCCTGGAGGAGCTCACAAAACCTACTTCAATCTGCAAAGCCGATTCAGTTTCAGATAATTCGTAATTTTCAGAATCGCTACATAAGACCTCTGACTTATCCAGAAGGAGATTCTCTCCTGAAGGGATGTCATCAGCTGCGAGAGACACATCTGCAACAATGGCAGTAACACTCTCATCATTACTTTTGGAATTGCCCTCTTCAGCGTGCCTTCCTTCCCACAAGTCTCTGCCACACTTCACTCTTCCTTTCTCGATAAATTTCAAACTAGAAATCCTTTCAATGGGATTGACATCTTCAGTTTTGTCTCTGCCAGATATGTTTATATCTGCAGTGACTGGAGTAACACCTACAGGTACCTGTGATGTTTCTGGATAATACGTGTGAGTGGTAGAGCTCATAATATCTTGAGTGCCAACGTCGTCACCCTCCCACAGTTCCTTCCCTGCTAACACTCTCCCCTTCTGAATCTGCTCGATGCTGGGTATTCGTGCTAACAATTTTTTATCTTCCTCTTTTTCTAGAATGGCAGCTCCATCAACTGTCTTTTCCTGTGATGATTTCAGAGCTGTGGGAACATGCTCATGGTCTACTGCTAACGAAGCCTCAGTTTCCTTCTGGATATGCCTGGACTTCTTCCATTCTCTGTAGTCATCAGGAACTTCAGGCAACTGCATCGTCGACTCCCACTTCATCTTCTCCTCCAGAACAGCACCTTCAGAAATCCTGACACTTAGCTGCCTGCTTTTCACGGACTCCTCAGCAGAACCTTCCTCTGATTCGCGAAGTTTTGGTCCCTTCTTGTTCTTCTGCGCCCTCACCTTGCTCTTCAAGACGCTTTCTGTATTCAGGTTATCCGACGTCACCAGATTGAGCCACACCTGTCTTGTGGTGTTGACAAGACCTTCCTCGATATCGGGTTCAGCAAGAGGCTCATCGTAACGAACTACGTCCCTGGCATCTACTCCCTCAGACGACTGAGGAGGCACGATCACCAGCGGTTCTTCGGCTCCGGCGACTGTGTCTTGGGAGTCAATCGGAAAGGTCACTTCATTTTGGTATCCCTCACTGGCAACCTGTGCGTCCTCGGTGTTCTTGCCAGCATGGAGACGAGTCCACTCGGCTTCTGCTGTCTTTTTCCTTGCCTCCTCCCTCGCCTCCCACAGGAGTTTAGTATCAACCACTGTTCCATTTTTGATCCTCACACTCAGTCGATAACCCACTGCTTGTTTTGATTTTGGCGGCCTTCTGAACTTTCTACGTCGACAAGGACTTACTTTACGTTCAGTGTCTGGCGTGTGAACTTGTGTGTGAGTGTCATCATTCTCCGGCACCTTCTCACTGGGTGATGTATCGTCTTCACACGCATCTTCCTCCATGACTGGCAGTTGTCTCTCCCACTGGTTCTTCCTCGTCTGCACAATCCCCTTCTCGATCATCTTAATGCTTGGCCGTCGATCTACAGGCACACAGTCACCTCCAGATTTCTCACGTTTTTGCTCCTCACAAACTGTATCTTTCACAGCTTCCCCTTTCATCCTCTCTGTATTACTTCCCTGGGAAAGCTGCTTATATGTTCCTACAGCCAGGACCTCTTGTTTGTCTTTATCACCTCTCACCCTGTCACTATTTTCATGGCATTTAGAATCTTTTTTACCCTCTGGTATTTGCGTTATGGTGTTGTTAGCTTTATGTAAATGACTTTTAACTGTTTGCTCTGTTTGTTTACTCTCCCACAATTCCTTTCCAGTTTTCACAAGACCCTTCTCAATTTTCTTATAACTTGGCACTCGTTCCAAACCCTCAGCATTCTCAGACTTTAACTCTTCGTCTTCACCTTTATTTTCTATAACTGATTTCTGGTTGTTTTCATCAGCACCTCGAGGACAAACACTTTCGTCTTTTATACAGATCTCACTCAACACTTTTGTCTGGCTGTCATTTTTGGTCTCCTGCGCCGATAGAAATTCATCATCTACACAAGCCTTTTCATCACATTCGAATGTATCTAATTTGTCTACTTTCTGTTTGGAGATATTTTGATCATTATCCTCAATCTTCTGGCTTCGTCCTCTGTTCTTCAATATACTTTCAGTCTTAAGTTCAGAAGAGTCCACCAAATTCTGCCACATTTGTTTCTTGTACTGAACAAGACCCGTTTCAATGTTGTCCTCAGGAACAGAATCGGTGGCTCTCTCGGGCTCTTCCACGTTGTGTTCCTCAGCGAGTATGTCAGTGTGAGAAGACAGATCCGTCCATGATGCTTTCATCCTCCCAACCAAACCTAGCGGAGCATCTTCCTTCGGGGAGTTCTCGAAAACTTGGTCCTCTTCAAGTGACAGACTTCTAGAGATGGTGTGTTCGTTCTCCTCGGCGATTGTGTCACACTTGGAGAGGTCCCCAGACTGACTGATGATGTCAGTTGACTCTGAGCTGCTGGACATTCGAGGCTCACCGCCACCTGCATTTCCAGCAATTATGGAATCCCAGAATTGTTTTCTGGAGGTCACCAGGTCAGTAGAAGGTTGAGCATCAACCTGGACTCTGCCTCCATCATAGCGAGCGTCTGCCTTGGGAGGTGTTTCGTCGATGGAGCTGCTGGTGCTGGAGTAAGTTCTGAACCCGTGGATCTCCTCCAGTAAGCTACGATGAGACTGTGATTCAGTGGAATCGTCAATTCTATCCTCGAGTTTATCACTGAAACGTTTCATGTACAGCGAAAGCCGAGTTTCAGAAGCAGTGGATCCTTCAGAGACCCAGCGTCCCGTGGCGTTATCACAGCCAGATAAACCAGAGTCGTCCACTAGATCCTCAGCTGTAGAGTTGTGACCTGACTCTGTCACGGTTGAGCTAACAGAGTCTTCCTCATCCAGCATCTGCTGAAATTCGCTAAGGACAACATTAGTCCTGTCAGAGGACAGAGAATCTTCGTGGTCCTCAGCGTCATTACTGAGGTCACGAGCTGAGAGGGTAACATCACTGGCATTAACATTTGGGGTGCTGTGACCAGTCTCAGGACTTCCCCTGAAGGGCTCGGGGCTCGCACTCGACACATCTGACAAACACTGAGGTGTTTCAGATTCCAATAAACTTAATTTATGGACCAGAACTGGGTCTACAGGTAGGCACGGTTCACGGGCGCTCTCAAATATATCAGATGAAATTTCTGAGAGCGTACTTTCTTTATCACAGTGAGATTCACTTCCTCCAAGAGAGTCTGTATCATATTGATCCTCTCTAGCAGTCACTGCCGGTGAGTCACTGTTATACACTTCCTCAGTACAGATCCCCAGACCCTTGCCAATCACATCAGTTTCAATGAAACAATTTTCCTTCACCACAATAACACTATCACAGTCTCCGGCAGGGGAGGTGAGCTCCACTTCGTCAAGTGGGTCTTTCCTCACATTACTTGCCGCATCCTCAGCACTCAGAGTTGCCGCATCCTGGGTCGCCTTCACTCTTGCCCCCAGACACTCACCAGGGGAACTGTCCAGCACCTGGAGGAGCTGAGACACTGCATATGTGTTGACATTTTCTGTTTGTTTCACTAAACTTCCACCAGGACGGTTCACGGGGGCTGTGACGTCATCTATCGGGATGGTCTGAAGCGGATTTTCACGTGGACTTCCATCGCCTATTTCTGCACTTTCCTGTGTTTGTTCCCTGTCTTTTTTCTCCTGTTTCCTCTTCTCTCCTTCTCTTTCATCCCAGTGTTGGCCGTCCACCACCACACCTGCCGGGCTCGGTGGAATTGCTGTGAGTAAATCAGCTGTTTGACCCGTCTCATTATGGCAAACAAGATCATGACCTTGACTGGCTTCACGCAAGTGGAGTGTTGTCTCTCTCCCGTCTACCGCGTTTTGTGCGTCTGTCTGCGTCACAGGCGAGCTTGTGTCGCCTCCACCTGCTTTCGCTGCGGTCTGTAGGGAATAGAGTGACTTATATGGTTCCTTGTCTTCTGAAGATGAATTTATGACACGGAAGTCTTCTGCAATGACTACTGCAGCGTTAGGTTGTAGTGTGGGTGTGGTTCTCTCACTGACGGTGCGTCGCCTACCCATAGATTCATTGTTGTATTCCGTTTTCACTTGTGTTATTACGGTGGGTACATTTTCTTGGGTCACCGCCTCCTCCACATTCTCTTGCGTTACCACTTCATCCTCACTCACTTCTTCTACATCCTCTTGGACCACCACCACTTCCACACCCACCTGAGATCCAGCTGGCAATAACTGAGGCTGGATAGCACTGCTGTGTGAGGAATCTGGAATGTCTGAATCAATGAGAAACTCAACAGATTCCCCCATGAAGAATGTTAGATCTCCATCCTGTTGACTTCCACAAACTTCTCCCTCGAGCTCAGACAAGCCCCTGGAGCAGCGCCCATCAGGAGAATCAAGATCCAACAGTCTCACTTCGCTGGTTGTTTTTACTCCTCGTGGGGAGGTAAAATGACCCGCTCCAAGTCCCAGAAGATCGATCGTGGGAACACATTCTTCAAATGGCTGTGACTGCGGCGTCAAGACCTGGGAGGACAATGACACTCCTCTTATGTCAACTAACCTCTGTTCCTCAGTTAATGTGACGTCATCACTAGCCACCTGTTCAGTTGCCGGGAGACTCGGGAGGTGTAAGGCTTCACCTGGTGTTAATCCTCTCGACTTATTGGTATTAAGGTCAACTGACTGTTCTAGTTCATCTGGAGAAATTAAAACTTTCCCAGTTACTGTAGTGTTTACAAACACATTAGGGTCATGGGAAACTGAGGTACTTTTGAGCTGGTCTTCTCCCTTAGTCCAGGACACATCTAGATCCTCTGTCTCCTCATTTACACGTGTGGTATCTACCTGAGCATCACACACACCTCTGGTCTTTTCGGAAGCTTCTCCGTTCACAAAACTTAAGATGGCTGAGCTTTCCTCACTGTTTTGAGTTTCTTTATTACCATGACCAGTCAGAAGTGCGTCAAAGAATTTACAAGTTACTGTTGTATCACCATGACAAGTCGCTGTCGTTTCCGGAGCGTCAGTAGCCACCAATAAATCACAAGTGAGCTTCCCACCACCAGGTGACACATCACTAGCAAGAGGAAAAGTGTCCCAGTGTATCACCGGCACCGAGTCTGACAGATCCTCATCCATTACTGAACATCCTCTGCTGGATTGATCCTCGTCTGAATTTTCTGTAACGTATCTGGACTCCACTTTTGCCACAGACTTCTCGCACAGGGTCTGAGACAAGACTGGAGGACAGACGATGAAATCTGGCTTCTCCGCGTCTCCTTGTGATGGTGATACCTCTCCACCATCACCACCCTCAATACTGGGGCTTCCCTTCACCTCCTGCACCACATGCAGCGTTTCACTCATTCGGTACGAGCTTATCTCTGTGTTCTCGTCACTGAAGGGATCCCCTGTCCAGGACCCAATATCAGAGAACATAGAAAACGGGTCGCTGCTGGCCGTCACGGCGAAGGTGTCACTGGTTGCTGGGAAAACGTCACTCTGATCATCAAAAACATCCTCTGTGTACGTCTCGTCCTGGTACTCGCCCCGGCATGGTGTCTTAACTTTGGGATGTATATTACAGAAGTATTGAGTCGATATTTCCGGTTCTCTAGACGATTTCTTGTCACTGCTCAGAGTGTCTTTGTGGTCATCATCGTGTAAATGAGGGCTGTTGGTGGTGAGGGGGTGAGGGTCAACATTACTGGTGCTGTGGGTAAGATCTACGTCTAGCACTGGAGAAGATTCACCACTTACAGTACTATGAATCTCACCTTTTACCAACACCGTCTCGGTAGGATCGATAACGCCAAAGGAACATGCAAGGCGCTGAAGTCCGCCACTCTGAAAAAAGGTTAACTGTTCTTTGGTAAGCACTACGTTATCGTGGCTGATGCTACTCTCGTCAGGCTGTCTGTCCCCGATGGTCCCTTCGTCAGTTTGTCCTTCACTCACTTCATCCGTCGTCTTCGTGTCTTTACAGAGAGAACTGTCACCATCTGCTTCGTCTGGAGTTTTGTCTGATACTGTTTCCTGACCAACGTCACCAGCTGCGGCTGTTTCAACTTTACCGTTGTTGTCTTCCTCAATCTCATCCATCTTACTGTCTCTACTATGATCTTTACACACTGTTTGCTTCTCACTAAGGTCTTCGGTATGTTTTGGAACTACAACTTCCTTTACACTGACTGTCTCTGTTAGTGAGCTGTTTTCTTCAAATTTAACAGTTGTTGTGTCTACAGTGTCTCGAGATAGTTCCACATTTAGCGACTGTGTAAGCAGAATGTGTTTTGTAGGTTCCTCAGCTGATACAGTGCTCTGAGAATCAGTCTGCAGGAAGCCTGTAGAACTTGTATGGGGCGCAGCAGACAGAGAACTATGTACTTCTGGTGCTACAATTAAACTATGTGCCTCTGCATCTGTAATGCCCACAAAATTCCGATGTTCAATAGAAGGAAGGAATGAACTATCACATTTGAAAGTGGTGTCTCGAGCTTGACTTTCAGCGTTCATTCCGAACTCATCTTCACCTTGCCCGGAGTCATTACCAGATGTTACAGAAGACTGGTAGGGTGCTTGACACTCTGTGAGGTCTTCATCACCAACTGCTTGAAGCTCAGGTATCAACAGCATCTCCATTGGAGGAACGAAAGCGTGATGAGTCAAGACGCTCTCCCGCCCTAGTGCTGTAATTACATACTTAGGCTGGGAGGTCACTTCCCCACACATTGAAGGATCGGGGTCCTCCTCAAAGGATGGGGAGCCAACGATGATAGGGTCAACATGGGCTGGAATGAGCAGGGTTTCCATGGGTGGGTAAAAGGACCCTTGGGTCACGTCCTCCTCCAGGAAGTGCGGGGTCGAGGACGTCCCCTTCTGCGAGTGGGGAGGTTGTAAGGTCTTTAGGTTTGTTTCGAAAGACGCTGACTCTTCTCCAGGGATATTTTGGACCTCGTGTTCTCCCGTAATATTTATGTCTGAACTTTCAGGAGCTTCAGCTGGTGTTTCTTTTTTACTTGTATGCTCGGCGTCAGGTTCAGCGGGGCTTTTATCTCTTTGAGTCTTTAGCGTGTTTCTGGTTTTAAAAGCTTCAGGGCCTTCAGGATAATCTCTGTTTAGTGCGTTAAATTCATCACTTTTTTCTTCGTCTGAACTCTCTTGCTCTTTATGTTCACTTTTAATCTGACCTTTATTACTGTCCACGTCTAACTCTCCCGCCTGTGCTCTTTTATACATACTTCCCACGTGCGACCGTCTCCCGTAGGTAATATTTGGCTCACCATCATCATCTTCCTCACTATCACTTGAAGATGACGAAGTTGCACTATCTGAGGATCGTGCTTCTCTTTGCCGAAACACTGACTTTTCTTGCCCTCTCTGGTCCTGGCCGTGTCCGTCACTTTCTTCCGTAATCCTTGATGTAAATACTTGTTCATCAACAATTTCAAATCTCCTAAGAAAATCTGGGGCCAACTTGCCCACTTTGGGGGCCCGCTGGCCGACCTTTGGTGAGGGCGGGCCTCCTCTTGGCGAGTCAGGATTCCAGCTCTCAAGGAGTCTAAACCTCCCACTCGAGAGTCTCCTCAGTCTGGGTGGTCTGGTGGGCACCTCCTCCTCCTCCTCCTCGTCCTCTGAGAGCTCTGGGATGGTGTGCAGTTTGCTTCTGTGACTTCGAGCTGGTTTGTTGTACTTGGCTCTGGGCTTCGTTCCGGGAATCTCTATGTCATCCTCATCTGTCGTAACATCAGATTCAGACTGGGAGGAATCACTATCGGAAGCTGTCACTGGGGACTTACTGGGGCTAGGTGAGAGAGGTATCACTAGGGGATGGCAGCCTTTGATCGGGCCGACCCGCATGTCATCATCAGAGTCAGATTCACTCTCGTGGCTTGTCGCGTCGTAAGGTTCTGCAGGTCTCGTGGTCATGTTGACTGCTTGGGAACTGAGCTGAGAGGAGTCCTTGATAACAGATGATGATTTAGACAGTATATCTGTGACCAAATCGTTTCCAGGATTCTTGCACGAATCTTTCATGTTATGTAAAACTCGTTGGTCTTGTACTTGTTCCAAATGTATTTCTTGTGATGCATCTTCAGGATTTTGTAGTTTTCGATGGACTTCAGAGATTCTTCTTGATAATTCAACACTGTCCAGTAACGTAGCTAAATCTTCCTTCTCGTCATCGAAGGAATCTTGATTCACACTACTCCACGGCGTGCGTGTCTGCCAGGGATGGAATGTCTTTGGCTGTAAGTTAATATTATTACTGCCACTTGTATTACTCCCCGAAGGAATATTTTCTTGAGTTTGTTCTCGTTGTCTGGCGACGAGCTGTTCATAAATGTATCGTTGAGGAACACAATACACGTCCCCGGAGTCTTCTGTGCTAAACATATAGTCACTGTCATCGGTATCTCCGGCAGGTTGTTCCTCAACTCTAAGGGGCGTCGTGGATGACTGCGAGTCTCCCTCTGCCTCTGTGCTACACGTCTGTTCCTTAGCAGAAGTACCAAGTAAATCTTTCTGTGTGAGTGTGTCTGTCATTTGCTGGTCAGCTACACCAGATACATATATCTTGGGTTCGGTGTGTCCAGGATAAGAAAGACCCGCCTCACCCTCGACCTTGGTGCCATCCCCACTGCTTGTGCGAACTGGATGGGAAATTTTTAGATTTATTTTGTGAGTGTCATCGTCTTCTGTAGCTGTCGTACCTGCAGGCACGTTTTCTTTATTTTTTTCTTGTTCGTGGGCTTTCCTTAGAGCATTAAGCTGTGTATCAATATACTCTTGAGGCACCAGCACGTCCCCACAATCTTCTGTACCAAAGGAATAGTCACTTTCGTCTGACTCATCAACAGCTTGTTCTTCAACCCTGAAGTGTGTCACTGATTCATACAGACCTTCGGCTGTCTCTCCACTCGACTTTTTGTTAACAGGCAAGTTCTTTAAGGCACCTTCTTGCTTGGTTGTTTCTGCTGTGAGTGTACTTAGTTTACCGCTTGAATTTTCTTCTTGAAGTAAAGTATCTAATGTTGTAGGTTCCTCAGTGTGATCAACAGGAACGATTGATATGAGATTCGTTTCATCCCTAGTGTTTGTATTATCAGCGGCTAGAGAAGATGAAATTTCTACGACTAGTAAATTTTTCTTCACACTTTTCTCTGATATAACACCTGCCATATCATCTCTCGAGCCCCTGTAGCTGTCAGATGGAAACACTGTTGTATCTTCATAGTCTGGAGTCGTATCTGCCAGGCTGGTGGTGATGACTGGTGGCTCTGGCGACACAGGGGAGCTGGGTAAGTGTTCGGTCGCTGTTTCATACGTGGGGCTGGTGATGGTGTCACTTGAGTCCTGCTCACTTGGCTCGTCCTGTGGGGTCTTCACATCGGAAGTAGGCAAGTTGCCTCTACTGAGAAATAAGGAAGTTGGAGGTTGTATGAAACGATTTAATGTGACATCTAAACCGTATATCGATGTGCGTGACAGAGAGATGATGTCTTTCTTCATTTCCCCGCTAATATTAACTGTTTGAGGAAGTTTGCCGTCTGATGCGACGTCATCTGTGGTGAAATTGTCAATGAGGATTAAATGTTCTCCTGACGAGTCCCCGGGAATAGTCTCCCTCTCTTGGGTCGACTCCTGTTGCTGATTGACCGTGAGTGACTGTTGGCGATCAGTCAGTCCAGGTTCCTCTTCGTCAGAATATTCCTCTGGTGAAGGATTATTACCGAAGAACATACTCAAAGGTGACGGTGATCGGGAACGAATATAATCAGATATAGCTGTGTACACGAGCCATGGGGAGCCACTGTGTTCCTCAAGGTTCACAGCCTTCTCATCCAGTATGTCAGGTGTTGGGTCATCGATCTCTTCTGGGAGGTGAATGAGCACGTTAGTTTTCTCTCCCAGGTAGCCAAGTAAGTCTTCGGGGTGTGAGCAGCTCTCATCCCCAGCTTTTTCAAAACTTAATGACATTAAATCCGGTTCTCTCTTCTGCAACTCGTCAAAACAGACAGGAATGTTTATGGAACCAGCAGCAGGGGGATCTAATGCACCTTCTCTCTGGGGGTCTAATACACCTATGTCCTCAGAAGTATCGTCATAAGGTTGTTGTCCATTAAGCAAGTCCAACGTAATATCATCTTGTAGACAAACATATGTATTCGAGTCGCTAACGATATCCTCCACAGGCAGGTCATCAGATTCGGGAGTAATGTTGTTGTCCTCGAGGTCACTTTCCGGAGTGGCTGACTGAACTACCACTCCAGGAATCAGTGTCTGTTTTCCACTCTTCGACTCCAACTCTGTTACTGAATACACCACTTGTTCTTGAGGAAGCCCATCACTTGATTCTCTGGGACTTTGAGGTAATGATGGCTTTACCGGGAAGAGGTCCGTAGTTTCAGCACCAGATAACAAGGTAGAGATTTCTTCCCGAGACTTGAATGTTGGGTCATCCATCTCATCCACAATCTCGTGAGGTTGAGTAAGGCCTTCCTCGGTTAGGTTACTGTCAGATACATCTAGTTGGCCTGGGATTAGAGACTCTTTAACTGTAATTAGAGGAAGTACCACATCAATAGCAGATGGTACGGAATCCTCTCTAACGTCGATACATGCGCCTGGATGCTCTTGAGGTTCAACATCGGTAAGTGTTTCCGCCAAGGAGTCAGTAAGTATAATTTCCTTCGCTGGTTTATCCAACTGGCCGAGGGAGTTAGTCTCACCCAGATGACCAACGTCTAACACACTCTGAGGGTCACCAGATGACGGTTCTTGTTCTCTTGGTGTTGTTCCTTCTTTCAAAATGTCAACAGGTGCCAATACTCCCTCCAAAAGGTCAGTAGGGACCAATGACCCCTCCAAAAGGTCAGTAGAGGCCAATGACCCCTCCAAAAGGTCAGTAGGGGCCAATGACCCCTCCAAAAGGTCAGTAGAGGCCAATGACCCCTCCAAAAGGTCAGTAGGGGCCAATGACCCCTCCAAAAGGTCAGTAGGGGCCAATGACCCCTCCAAAAGGTCAGTAGAGGCCAATGACCCCTCCAAAAGGTCAGTAGGGTGCCAATGACCCCTCCAAAAGGTCAGTAGGGGCCAATGACCCCTCCAAAAGGTCAGTAGGAGTAAAAGGTCAGTGACCCCTCCAAAAGGTCAGTAGAGGCCAATGACCTCTCCAAAAGGTCAGTAGGGGCCAATGACCCCTCCAAAAGGTCAGTAGGGGCCAATGACCCCTCCAAAAGGTCAGTAGAGGCCAATGACCCCTCCAAAAGGTCAGTAGGTGCCAATGACCCCTCCAAAAGGTCAGTAGAGGCCAATGACCCCTCCAAAAGGTCAATAGATTCCAATGATCCCTCCAAAAGGTCATTAGGTGTCAATGACCCCTCCAAAAGGTCAGCAGATGTTAATGTTCCCTCCAAAAGGTCAGTAGACGCCAATACTCCCTCCAAAAGATCAATAGGTGTCAATGCTCCCTCCAAAAGGTCAGTAAATTCCAATGATCCCTCCAAAAGGTCATTAGGTGCCAATGACCCCTCCAAAAGGTCAGCAGGTGTTAATGCTCCCTCCAAAAGGTCAGATGAGTTCTGTTGGACCTCTTTAAGAGTATATGTTTCCTCTTGAATATCCTGAAGATCAAATAGATTATCATTGACCTCATGAAGGACAGATGGTTCTTTCTGGACATCAATACCAATAATTTGGTTCCTCTGGTCAGCCACATGAGCAGGCAGGTTCTCTTGTTCAGGATCATGTTCTTCATGAGCATCTAGAAATTTACAAGAGTCTTCCTGCCACGGGACGGCTGCTCTAGTCATCTGATGGACGTTTGCTGATGCGAGCACCTTGTCTTGGGCGTCCATATATACAGGTACATCGTCGTGGTCCTCAACCGGAGGAGTTTCTTTTTCCTGTAAATTTATAAATGATTCTTGTAGCAGCTGATTCTTGGGTGTTTGTGTTTCCTCTGGTGAGTGTTCGTGGTCTGTTGTATCTTTTTGAAGCTGGTCAAAAGGTTCAGAAGACTCCTGATATTGATCAAAAAGTACGGCTGATTCCTCCTGAAGTTTAGTAACAGGTGTGAATGATTCTTCTTGGAGCTGATCAAAACCTGAGACTGACTCCTCCTCATGTTTATCAATATGTACGGCTGACTCTTCCTGAAGTTGGTTAACAGGTACAGATGATTCCTGAAGTTCATCAACAGATACAATTGACTCTTCCTGAAGTTCATGACCAACAGATACGATTAACTCCTGTAATTGGTCAGAAGGTACAGCAAGCTTCACTGGGTCCTGTTTTGGGCATGCAGTTTGGGATGATTCATTAGTAAAGTGATGTATGGATTCAGATGGTCGACCCTGAAATTGATCCACAGGTTTGTTGAGTTGGTCTTGATCTGTGAGGTCGTCCGTCTCTCCCTGAAGTTGGCCAATACATGTGGAAGGTTCTTTTTTAAGTGAATCCATGGTGTCTTTCATAGTCTCATCTATGGTTTCATTTTCACCTTGGCGCTTGTCGTCTCTCTTGGTCTCAGAAGCAAACAGTGTATCGTTCTGTTGTGAGTCTAAAGCTGTTTCATCCATCCCAATTTCAGCCTCGAGTACTAATGTTTCATGTTCTGTGTGAAAGAGTGTTGCCTCTTGACCAAGAAAAGGTTGTTCAGTCAAATTATGAGAGTGAGTGACTTTCTCCTTCCTCGTCACCTGGGCGTTAGTCTCCTCTTTTCCTTCAACATTGGTGAATTCTGAAGGCATGTTTCGGGAGTCAGCTACTGTAGTTTTCCTCAGCGTTGAGTGATTCGCTTCTGGATTACTAAAGAGCTGCATTAACAGATGCACCTTCCCACGGCGTGCAACTTTCTGTTCGTCTGAACTTGCTTCACTTGTGGTCAGAAGTGACTGTTCGTTTGAAGATAATTTGAGGTTGATATCGGAGTTTTTGGCAGTTTGGGGAGACACTTTAACTTGGTCTACATCATCCTGTGGTATGACTGGATAGTGATCATTGAGTCGTTTTACAGACATCTGCACTTCTTTGATGTCTCTCTCCATGTTCGACAGCGCTACCACCAGTTTCTGGGATTTTTTCTGGAGTTCAAATTCTCCTGGAGTCTGTGCGATGATTTCTGGCTTCTGTTCAACATCCTCTTCTATTGTGTGTTGACGGGACACGTCCTCGAGAAGATCTGAGGAGCAAATTACTGCATCATCTTCGGTTACTGACGTGACTAGACTCTTCGAGCTTTCTTCAGTTTGGAGACTTAGAGATGCAGCCATTTGGTCTACGAAAATTTCTCCGACATGCGGTGTACTATTAACTTTCCCAACACAAGGAATGCATTCATCATTCGGAGATAATTTGTTGTTTAAATTATTTCCCACTGCAGAAGAAACAGAGGTAATTAGTTCGAGAGCTTCCACACAAACTTCTTCCTTAACTGAATGAGTTCCATCCACAGGCAGCGCTGTAGTGTCACTGTCAGGAGGCGAGTCCTTCCTTTTCTCCGTCTCTGGTGTATCAAATTTCTCACCCTCAATAATGAATCTCTTCATCCTCTTCAAGAAGGGTCTTGGTGATCTCTGTGAACCTTGACTGGACTGCTCAAAGACTGACCTGAGCCGCGACACTCTCTTGTCCTTCTCCAGGACAATCGTGGCCGGCTTGACATAGGTGCTGTAAGCGATTCTCTTTGCTTTAGAGCGCCTGATCCTCTCCTGTAGTAACTGAAGTGTTGGAGAAATACTTCTCTGTTGGGGCGGTATACTGTCTGTCGATGTCAACAGACTACTGAATTTATCTAGACCTTTTACTGTACCCTTGTTTGAGGTAATACCGAGAGCTTCCTTGGAACCTTCGCGGGCTACGTCTCTCGTGTTGCCAGGTACTGTGTCTACCCTGTACTGATTCAGTAGATCCATATCAGGAGATATTACTGGAAGAGGAAAAACATTTATGCAAGATTTACTTCTTTCCTTGATCACCTTATTTTTCACATTACGTGTAAGTTTTATAGTTATGTCTTCTGTAGCTGGTAGAACTTGAGGATTTTCTGTGGGAATTTCCGGTATTAATTCCTTTTCAAGTTCAACAACTCTTGACTCATTTAAGTTACCCTGATTATTGGGTATTGTCAAGTCCCGAGAATCCGTCTTATTCTCACATTCAGTTGGCTTCTTATCTCTCTGAAGATATGAGATTTCTTCCAAAGATCTGGTTTCGAACATAGATCTATACCTTGTGACAGAACCGCACACATAAGTCCTCTTTTCCGACTGGCCTTCTGCCGAGTCCTTTTGCTGCGTCTTTAACTTTTCATCGGGAATCTCAACTGGGACAAAATATCGCTCTCCTCCTAACTTGTCTTTTTCATACTTCATATTATTCTCAAACATTTTTTGTCTCTGAGATACTTTAGACGATGTAATCAAATCGACCTCCCCAGAAGCTGAGGACGGTAATGAGTTGCTCAAAGTTGTCGAATGAATACCCAAATAACTCTCACTCTTCACGGTAACCTCTGGACACTTCCCTTCTCTCCTCACAGCCTCCTTAGTGTGTGTTCCTGAGAGGCTACACAACCCAAGTTGCTCAAAAAGTAAATCAGACGCGTTTGTTAACCTAAGTGGAAGCTCAACTACCTCATCTTTTGTGCCTGTAGCCTCCAGATGACCCTTCTCGCTTCTCACCACCTCCTCCTGCTCCTCATTACTTCTTTCCAGCTCATTCTTATTGATCTCCATCTTCTTAATTTGGTTCCCGATGTCTCCAATCTCCTCGATCTGATTCCCACTCTCTGTCTCCAATTCCTCGTGTTTCTCAGTGTTTCTCTCCACCCCAATCTGGTCTTCACTGTCTCTCTCCAATTCCTCGTGTTTCTCAGTGTTTCTCTCCACCCCAATCTGGTCTTCACTGTCTGTCTCCAATTCCTCGTGTTTCTCAGTGTTTCTCTCCACCCCAATCTGGTCTTCACTGTCTGTCTCCAATTCCTCGTGTTTCTCAGTGTTTCTCTCCACCTCAATCTGGTCTTCACTGTCTCTCTCCAATTCCTCGTGTTTCTCAGTGTTTCTCTCCACCCCAATCTGGTCTTCACTGTCTCTCTCCAATTCCTCGTGTTTCTCAGTGTTTCTCTCCACCTCAATCTGGTCTTCACTGTCTGTCTCCAATTCCTCGTGTTTCTCAGTGTTTCTCTCCACCTCAATCTGGTCTTCACTGTCTCTCTCCAATTCCTCGTGTTTCTCAGTGTTTCTCTCCACCCCAATCTGGTCTCCACTGTCTCTCTCCAATTCCTCGTGTTTCTCAGTGTTTCCCTCCACCTCTGTCTGGTCCTTAACTGCTTGACTCAACAGTGTATATTCCTGCGACTCTTCAATTGGCTTTCCACTGGGTTGTCTTGCAGCATTTCCCTGACCTAGTAGTGACAGATTTTCAGAAGCTTTTGGCAGGTCTTCAGGAGTCTCTGGCAGGTCTTCAGGAGTCTCTGGCAGGTCTTCGGGAGTCTCTGGCAGGTCTTCGGGAGTCTCTGGCAGGTCTTCGGGAGTCTCTGGCAGATCTTCTTTAGACTGTAGATCTTCTGTGGTCTGCAGATCTTCAGTGATATCCAAGAGGTCTATGGTAGTCTGCCAATGGTCTTCACTGATCACTGATATACCTTCATTGGTCTGTGAGACGTCGTTGTTGGTCTTCAGAGGAACTATAACCTCCAGGTGGTTCTTCTTGCTTCTCACCTCCTCCTCCTCCTCCTCCTCCTCCTCAATGCTTCTTTCCAGCTGATTCTTATTGATCTTCATCTGTTTCCCGCTGTCTTCAATCACCTCAACCTGATTCTCATTACCTCTCTCTAATTCCTCTTGTTTCTCCTCCATTGTTGTTGATGGTGTAACTATTCCATAATTTGGCTCCAGCAGTTGAAGAACATCGGTTATCTCTTGATGTGGCTCATCTATACATACAGGTGGTTGTGTCTGTTCCCTACATGATTCAATCTCTGCTTCATTTGGCACAGTTTCCTTCTCATATGGTTCATTCATTTCTTCTGGTGGTTCAAGCAACTGTACAACTTCGGCTATGGCTGTGCGTGATTTTTCTATTTCTACCGATGGTTTAACAAGCGACCTGTCTTGTCCCAGTATTTCCCTGACCACCTCAGCTATTCCTACAATTGGTTCTTCCAGCTGGTCGCTGTGTTCCTTCGTACGCTCATTTCGGTCACGCCACTTATCCATCACGTCAAAGAAGTTCACATCTTCTTCATGTAGCTCCTCACAGATCTCTAACTCGGAGGCCCACCTATCATCATCGCCAACTGAGCTCGGTTCAGTTTCCTCATCGATTGTGTGAAGATAGTCCATATCAGAATTGGCCTCGAGGCAAGCCAGAGCCAGCCTCGATTTGGTGTCTAATTCAATATCAGCCTTAGTTGCTTGACACTCGGCCTCCTCTTGAACAACTACTTCGGGGATGACAAGGGGTGTTTCGTCGTGGCAGCTGTTCATGTGACCATTATCTGAGCCCTCCAGGCTGTCTTTAGTTAGTTCTGATCCTTCAGAGCTATCCAAAGGTTCAGATATATCTGTATTTTCTCCGTCAGAGTCGTCCTGGTTGGTGCTGCCAAAGGAGATGCTCAAAACGGTCCCCTGCTCGTCCATTACAGACTCAAGTAGCTCGTCATCGTCCTCTTCATATTCATCATGGACGCGTGTCACATCCTCCTCACCTGAGAAGTCTTGTCCGCTGTCTTCAGATGCCAAGGAATGAGATGAATCAGACATTTCATTAAAGTTGTAAGCCATGATTCGTGACGCAATTTCGACTGTTTTGAGAGCTTCTTTCTTTGGGCTATGTTCGATGATGAAATCACACATATTCATAATACTGTTGCAGGTCTGTTCAAAGTGTTCAGTTGAATCTTCTGCCACACTTTTAGATGTTACATCACGATTTGTTTTTCTTCTCCGGGATTTATGGTCTGCAAAGCTGACTTCATGGACTGAGGGCTCTGTGCTTTCTTTCATTTCGTCGCGCAAGTTACTTAGAGCGTCCCCCTCGAATACATCTCCAACACCAGACGTGACAAGCATATCTGGCTCTTTTAAATCTTGTTGGTTTGAATAAGTGCGAAGTATGCCTGCGGCCTCCTTATGGGGTCTCGAGTCATCTAAAGTTTCATTAATTAAACACTGTTCATTCTGTCCATTTTCAGAATGAGGAACCTCAGGTAATATCCCTTGAGATGGACAATCAGACTCGTCTTTATCTGAATTTTGGACATTATCTTTAGGTTCCTCATCAACCCCAGCAATCCCAGATGATATGTCCTCGGAAGATGATGCCGTCTCATCCAAGATGGTACTAGCGATACCTTCTTCACTTACTCTTTCTACCTGTGAAGTCAGGTTTTCTATATTCTTTCTAGTTTCCACACTTTCGAACTGATTTATACACTTAACACTTTCTTGAGATTCATCATCGGTCTCCAGACAAGGAACCTCGAGACTGTCTTCTTGGTTGTCCTCTTCCTCCTGACGACACTCCTGGGTAACGTCCTCACCTTCCTCTGCCGACTCTTCATACGTAGTCTTGGTGGGCGTCTGACTTACACATTTTAACTTCTCCATCAGCTTCGCCTTTTGAGAATCGAATGAAAAGATACCAGGCAGAAGAGGTACTTTACCATCCACTTGTTGTGAAGATCTCCGGGAAGAGGGAGCTGAGAAACAGTGTCTGAAAGTTCTGTAGGCCAACATGTCTTCCAAGTTTTCGTTAGAGTTCGCCCTTATCTTCTGGAACGCCTGCAAGTACATCAGTCAAGTATCAACCAAATGAGTATGTCTGAATTACTCTTGATAAATGGTCGGGTCAGTGAGCATTGGTCGGATGAGGATTGGTCGGGAATGTGAGGATTGGTCGGGTCTGTGAGGATTGGTCGGGAATATAAAAAATATATCACACATATGTGGATTAATAGATGGATAGACACACTCAGACGCACACACAGACGGACGCAAGGATAGATAGATAGAAAGCATCATATAAGAGGTATTTGACCCCATAATACTCTGAAGACAGGAGGTGACGGGATACAGAATGAGATAGGAGACAGAGGAACAAATTAACAACCTACGTGATTTGAGACAGAGAGAGGGGGACAGACAGAGAGACAGAGAAAGACAGGCAGACAGAGAGACAGATAGGCACAAAGACAAACAAAGACAGAGACACAGACACAGACAAACAAGAGATAGACAGATAAACAGACAGACAGAGAACTCACCTGACGAGCCTCAGAGGATCTGCCGATACTCTCGTTACCCTGAAGCACCACGTCCTCGTCACCCACATGCAGCACACGTCTCACCACCCGACGACGAAGGATACTCATGAACCTGTAGGAGGGATACACGTCATTATGAGTGGTGAGGATACATACACGTCATTATGAGAGGTGATGGGGATACGTACACGTCATTATGAGTGGTGAGGGGGATACATACACGTCACTATGAGTGGTGAGGGGGATACATACACGTCATTATGAGTGGTGAGGGGGATTCATACACGTCATTATGAGAGGTGAGGGGAATTCATATACATGCTCACTGGGTAATGTTAATTGATGTGTTATGGTATTAGTTGATTATGTGGAGAGATTATTAGTGTAAATCATTCCTGTGGTGAGGAAGGAAGGAAGGAAGGAAGGAAGGAAGGAAGGAAGGAAGGAAGGAAGGAAGGGAATGTGTGTGTGTGTGTGTGTGAAAGGAAGAAGAAGGAAGAGACGTAATACCACTAAATCAACAACACAAAAACAACAACAACAACAGGTGACAGCAGGAGTACCTCAGGGCACCAGCCTGGGCTCTGTAGGACATGACGGTAGGCATGGCAACTGTATCCTTATTGGTGAGTGAGCTGCGTCTGCTGGTGTTCCCGGAAGTACCTCCTTCAGGCTCCGTGTCGCTATCCATCAGAGGTCGCAGGATCTTACACGTGTGGGCGGGTGAGTTGTGCTGAGGGAGTAATGAAGAACAGAGGAGGTCAAGTGTGTCTTATTTGTCTACACGTCTTCTCTTCATATAAGTTTTGACCTCTTTCCCCTATACCATACACCTCTCTCTCTCACACCTGTGATTGGTCGACGAGGACGGTGTAGGGGGAGCCGACGACGTGCTGCCCCCGCCAGATGATGACGAGGGAGTGACGAGCGTGCTGGAGAGGCACCCACGCCACCCGGACCTCACAATCTCTCAGCTCGTACTCTAGGGGAATGTTGTGACATGCCTGGAGGAGGGGTGGAAAAGGGGAGGCGGGAAAGGGAGAGATAGGAGGGGGGATAGAGAGAGAGAGGGAGGGAGAAGGTTAGATAAAAGAAAGAGAGGGAAGGAGGGAAATAGTAAGATCACGAGGGGAAGGGAAGGGGCAATGTCAAAGGGGAGAAAGGGAGGTAAAATGAAGGGCGAGGGGAGGGGGGGGGAGAGAAAAAGGGGGAGAGGCGATGAGCAGGAGTGGGATGAGGAGAGAGGAGAGTGATAGAGAGAGGAAAGAGAGGGGGAGGAGGGGAAGGGTGGTTAATGTGTAGGAGGGGAGAGAAGACGGAAGGAGAAAGAGGAAAATAATGAGAGTAAAGGTAGACGATTAGGGAGGAGTAAGAGAGAGAGAGAGAGAGAGAGAGAGTTATTAGCATGGAAATAAAAAGTAATTAAAGAACCCTTACTTATTATGTCACTTATGAGTTCCACTTAAGGGAAAAGTCACCATACTCAAGGAACAAACCATAAGCGTGTCTTTGGGGAGGTTCCTCTTCCTTGAGGGTGAGCGATTGGTGATCCGATGGCTACAGTAGTCACCTATCTCGTTCTTCACCTCCACCACCAGGTCGAGTCCCGAGGTGCTGCTCAGGTAGAGGGTGAACCTGGCCTTCCGACCCACCACCCCCATCTGTAGGCCCATCCCGCGGGCGATCACCTAACGGAGGCCCAGGAGAAGGGATCACTGAGGTGTGCCATGATGATGATGATAATGGTGATGATGACATGAAGCAACAAAATAATAATAATAATAATAATAATAATAATAATAATAATAATAATAACAACAACAAACTGGGGCAGCACTCAACAGGAGCCAAGTCGCCTGAATAATGCTACAGAATTATTGGACTCTTGGTAACAACTGTGTTTTTTGGTGAGACGAGGGACTGTAATCTAACAATACCCGTTACAAAATGAATTTCTTATGATTTCGGATACTTTCTGTAACCTTATTGTATTTGTTATGCGAATACAGAGCATGAAAATTCAAATTATTCCAGTTGACCACTCGATATATTTGTCCCAGCGGTATAACAACGACGTCTGAAAATAGATAAAATTAAGATTTTCTGTTCATGTACAAAATTGTTATAATTAATCATTCATCTAATAATGGTAAGAGATTATTTCCTATAATAATTGGTCGTACATTCAGAAGGAAAATAAATTGTCTGTACGTCCGCCGGCGACACGTGTGGCACAAGTTGTCGTATTATATAGATATATATATATATAATGTAATGTAATATATACTAATACCTTTTGTAGAGGTTATAGAATCTATATTATTGTCAGATCAGCCAATCAGATCCGTCAATACACACCTGTTGTCCCAGCATGACAACAGGTGTACTACATGATGTTGTGGACACTATATGATGGACAAGTATGGTGCAGGAGATATAGTTGCCCTCCTACCTCACCCCCGACCCTCCTCTATACAATAAAATCTTCACGTTAATAAATAAGGTCTCAATATAGAGTCCTGCTGGACATCAGGGCTCTGTGCCACTAATAATGTGCTCCGACCTGCAGCGGGTTGGTGGTGGTGATGGTGGTCTGTGAGGAGTGTAAGATGTCGGACATACTCGTGCGTCTACTGCCACGGGGCTGACGACGCCGACGCCAGCAGTCTATCCCCATCTTCTGGGCTAGAACAGTGGAGAGTGAAGGAGCCTCCTGCCGGACCTGACGGTGGTGAGGGAGGTAGATCGTCAGACGTAACCACTATCACCTACTAACTATAGTGTTGTGAAGCAGAAAAAGTTCAATACTCTGTTGATTTTAAAGCAGGAAAAGCCGGGCCTTGAGGCGATGAGCACTTGTGAAGCATCAGCTGTGTCAATTTTGTGTTGGTCAGCACTTTGAGGAATATTAGGACCAAGTCTGCTGTTGTTGAAGCAGTAGGCGCACTACTGCCCTGGTATTCAAAGCAGGAAACTTCAGTCTTGACTTGAAGAACATTTTCGAGCCAAAGCAAAGACATTCTTGACCTGATTTCCAAGCAGAAAGACTCATTCTTCCATTGACTGTCAAGCAGAAGGTCAATCTGGTGTTGATTTTTAAAGCAGGAGAAGCATCTTGCGGTGCGTCTCAAGCGGAAGCTCAAGTCTTGCGATGAAGCATAACATCTTGAAAGCAGAAAAAGCTCAACACACAAAGCGAAGCACAAATATATCTCCACTAAACTGTGCAGGTTACGAGTCAAGATGTTTCACGTGCACAGGCAGGTAGCATAGCAGTAATTAATTTGATTAGTAAATAGTAAATATACAAATAGTAAAACAAAAATAAATAAAACTCGTGAGTACATAAATAAATAAAAAAAGAATTAAAGGCTGAAAGTCCGCAGTAAAATACCAAAAAGGGAACAAAAAAGTTTATAAGAAAAAAACGCCCACATACATACATACATACATACATACATACATACATACATACATACATACATACATACATACAACCTTAAGTCGTGCACACTGATGGACCTGAACTGTTGACTCAAACAGTAAGTAAAAATAACATTACAGTAATTACAACTATCAAAAAGGCCACAGGTTATACGTACACACAGGTCACATGATATACGTACACAGAGGTCACATAATATACGTACACAGGTCACATGATATACACACACAGAGGTCACATGATATACGTACACAGAGGTCACATGATATACGTACACAGGTCACATGATATACACACACAGAGGTCACATGATATACGTACACAGAGGTCACATGATATACACACACAGAGGTCACAACAGATGCACACAGTTACGTCACCAAACCATTACTACAGTTGTTGGTAATGGAAGACTCTGACCCTATGTAAGGTCTCCTGTAATATATATTTACTCATTTACTTTATACATTTTACTCATACATTTTACAGGACACCGTCTGGATAAGTTACGTATATTAATGGGTGTTGTGGGTCAGCCTGTATGGATATCTGTCACCCTACGTTCACTTTATCCATGGTAATATAACCTAACCTAACCTAACCTTACTTGTACGACCCAGCTGTTAATAGATCCAGCTCTTTAACAGTATGTGTGCGACAGTCGTGACCCACCTGGTGAGAGCCCAATGTTTGTGCGACAGCTTCCGGAGTGACGGGAGGCCCACCTAGTACCTTCCGCTTGAGGGCCGCATACCTTACCCTCCTAAGGAAGTAATACAGCACTCCACTCCCTCCGCCGCTGATATCCTGGAGGAGATAAGAAAACATTAAGAAAAACACTAATCACGTGTATTGATGAGACCAAGACAGATATTAAACAGACTAGGAATGTCGACTGGACTTTTGTTGGATGTACAGTAACGAACAATATTCCCTGGACAGTTTGGGTAATATTTGGGCCATCTTGTTGAAGGTTCATGTAGGTGGGTTGGTGGTGGTGGTTTGTGGTGGTCATGGGCGACACTGCAGGTCATGGGTGTCATTACAGGTCATGGGTGTCACTGCAGGTCATGGGTGTCACTGCAGGTCATGGGAGTCACTGCAGGTCATGGGAGTCACTGCAGGTCATGGGTGTCACTGCAGGTCATGGGAGTCACTGCAGGTCATGGGTGTCACTACAGGTCATTGGTGTCACTGCAGGTCATGGGAGCTCACTATAGGTCATGGGTAAATCCTGGCCTTTGTTGTCACTCGCAGGTCATGGGTGCTACCATCATGGGTGTCTGCAAGGTCATGGGTGTCTGCAGGTCAAGGGGTGCCACTGCAGGTCAGGGGTGCTCACTGCAGGTCATGGGGAGTCACCAGCAGGTCAGTGGGTGTCACTGCAGGTCAGGGAGCACTGCAGGTCAGGAGTCATGGGAGGGAGTGAATAGCCACGGCAGTGCCCAGGTTCTGAAGCCTGACAGGTGCACGGGTTCCTGGACATGTTAAGACACGTGCCCATCACATGCCTTACTACCTGCCTCACCATTCTGTTTTAACTGTTCACCACCTTTCTCACCACCTGTTACTTCACCTATTCACCATATTCACCTCTACAGCACTTCACCCTGTACAGGTTTAGTACAAGGATTCAGTACAAATCCACAAGGATTAGTACAAGTCACAGGTCTTAGTACAAGTCTGGTCTTAGTACAAGTCACAGGTCTCAGTACAAGTCACAGGTCCTACTACAAGTCACAGGTCTTAGTACAAGTCCTGGCTAGGTATAAGTTACAGGTCTCAGTACAAGTCACAGGTCTTAGTACAAGTCACAGGAATCTTAGTACAAAGCTCAGTACAAGTACAGGTCTTACAAGTCCTGAGTCTCGGTCTCAGTAAGTCACAGGTCAGTACAAGCTTCTTCACAGGTCTTAGTACAAGTCACAGTCTCAGTATAAGTCACAGGTCTCAGTACAGCCAGGCCCAGTGTAAGTCACAGGTCTCTGGCATGTCACAGGTCTCAGTCACAGGTACTACAAGTCACAGATCTTAGTACAAGTCACAGGTCTCAGTACAAGCTTCACAGGTCTCAGTCACAGGTCTCAGTCAAGTCTGGGTCCTACTACAAGTCCAAGATCTTAGTATGTCAGGGCCCCAGTACAAGTCTTCCTACTACAGTCACACATATTAGCACAAGTCACAGGTCATAGCACAAGTCACAGGTCTCTAAATACTTCGGTGCAAGTAAGATGGATGAATTTAGCTCAAGAGTACAGCATGTAATTAAGCTTCACTTTGCTATAAAGATTAAATATGAATACCTCCCCATACCCAACGCCACTCACTCCTCACTCACTCAACTCCACTCCACCACTCACTCAACTCACGCACTCACTCACCACTCACTCAACTCCTCACTCATACCTCACCTGGTTAAGGCAAGCCACCTACAATGAGAATATATATATATATATATATATACTTATATATATATATATATATATATATATATATATATATATATATATATATATATATATATATATATATATATATATATATATAAGTCACCTTTCACCCCACCACTCACCTGTGTCACCCCGAGGAAGTCATTAGCGAGCCTGGAGGCGATGCGCAGGTTAGCCTCAGGTTGATCGGGTGGCAGGAGGTCATGTCTTGGGCAGGTTCCGGGCACGAGAGCCTCCAGCAGCCCACACAAGGTCACCCCGTCAGCCAGGTCACGACCCAGCACACTCACACGTCGCGAAGGCACTTTGTCTCCAACCCACTTGACCAGATATTCCTCCTTCTCCCCTATTGGGATAGCTGAGAGAGGGAGAGAGATAGAGAGTTAGTGAGAGGTAGAGAGAGAGTTAGTGGTAATGATCGGATTCAAACCTTACCCACGAATCGACACCATGGCAGGCTACATCTCGGTATATTGACTGACGCTGTTACTTTAAATTGACGTAGTTACACCAGAGGACTGTCTTGTGTCTTCGTTTTCTTTGATCTATGAAAAGGTTTATGTATTATCATTGCACGAGACATTACCTTTGTGGAACTGGGTGAATCTTGGCAGACTAACAGACAGACAGACAGACAGACAGACAGACAAACAGACAGACAGGCAGACAGACTCGAAAACAATGCCCTAACCCTCTATTATCAGCAGGTTAATGAGGAGTGGAGAAAGTATTCAATAAACTGTCTCCTCTACCCAACCTTCGTGATCTAGGATAAGCAGCCATTAAGCCAACTCACCTGTAGACCAGTAAGACTTGCCAACCGCAAATGACAAACCCCACATAATCACTACTGTATGTGTGTATGTGTGTGTGTGTGTGTGTGTGTGTGTGTGTTAAATAAGGCAGGAACTACAGATACGGAGGTGAACGATATTAACTACAGGCTAACAACATCCACTGCCTTAACACATATGAAACGAGAAGCTCAACTGCATAATAACAATAAATTCAGCAACAACACTATAGAGGGAGAGGGTAGATGATGGGTGGGGAGGGGTAGATGATGGGGGAGGATGGGTAGATGATGGGTGGGGAGGGGTAGATGATGGGTGGATGAGGTGGATGAGGGTAGATGATGGGTAGGGAGGGTAGATGATGGGGAGGGGAGGGAGGGTAGATGATGGGTGGGGAGGGGGATGATGGTGGGGAGGGGTAGATGATGGGTGGGGAGGGTAGAGATGATGGGTGGGGAGGGGTAGATGATGGGTGAGGGGGTAGATGAGAGGGGATGATGGGTGGGGAGGGGTAGATGATGGGTGGGGTAGATGGGGTGATGAGGGGTAGATGAGGAGGGGTAGATGATGGGTGGGAGGGGTAGATGATGGGTGGGGAGGGGTAGATGATGGGTGGGGAGGGTAGATGATGGGTGGGGAGGGGGAGAGGATGGTAGATGATGGGTGAGGAGGGGTAGATGATGGTAGGAGGGAGATGGTGGGAGGAGGGTAGATGATGGGTGGGGAGGGGGAGGTGAGGGGTGATGATGGAGATGATGGGTGGGGAGGTAGATCATGGGGAGGAGGGGTAGATGAAAACTAAGCTTCTCAAGTTTCCTTCGAAGTAATTTAACTGAGGGAAGAGGTGGAGGAAGCCATATCGGAGGTCGGGGAAGGTAGGGAAGGCATGGGGGAAGGCATGTGGGGAGGGCATGGGGGAGGGGGTAATTTTGTATAGGAGGGTGGGAAGGAAGGAGGAACTTTGCCTGTGTTTAAGAGTGGAGAGAATTAGGTAAACCCCCCCTTGACACAATAAAATCAGTAAACAGCATTGAATATTTTCATCATTAATAATTTTATATATATACAAAATATTCTACACACACACACACACACTAAAACACCAAATTTATTCTTCAATACATTAAAACAAACATTAATTCTCAAACTTTTCAAAATAATAATAATTAACCCTCCCCCAAAAAAAAAAAAATTTATTCCACACAAAAACACAAAAAAAAATTTATGGAAAAGCTAAATCTAAAATACGAAATTTAAACACTTACTTGTCCTGACGCACATCCAAGCCAACGCCAGGTAGGGGAGACAAGTGGCCCATAGTGACGACAAGCACGACCACACCCACCGTACCCACGACCACCACGCCCACACCAACCACGCCCATCCTGGTAATAAAGAGGTGGGGTAGTAGTAGTAGTAGTTTGAGGAGGTTTCTTATCTTTTAGCCTCACATTACATTCCTTCCTCACCTTTCTCACTTCAGCTCGCTCAAGCCTTTTACGTGAAGGTTCTCTTGTTGTCAGTAAAGGCAGAAAAACTCCCTAAACTTCCCCCAGCCACTTCAGACTTACAACCGAGTTATCTTCAACACTGAGCATGTCCTCCAGGTAAGAGAACTCCTCGACACAGTTTCTCCAGGTTTAGTAAAGTTACATAATTACTTACGAATATATAACAGTGTGTAGTTCAGACGTGTTGGGGGGGGGGGGGCTGAACACCACATTATGCATTAGACCTCTGAGTAAACAACGCTATATCTTAGCTTATATACACCCCCCCTCCTCCCAGGTTGTCAGCTACATACAACAACGGGAAAATTAATTATTCAGTGACATAATAAAATGACACCTAAAAAAGCTACAATTTTCTCTCCTCATTTGAAATTATGTTGCCTCGGCACTACTCACTTCCCTCGCAATTTACTCCCATGGTTGTTCTTGAGCCTTCATGTAATGCCAAAACAACTCAGACACCCCTTGACCCCTAACTTCCTCATTACCCACTGTACTACCTCGTGAGCCACCGTGTCATATGCTTTATCTAAATATGTAATAACAAAGTACAACGTTTTCCCCTTTTCTAGATATGTTTCCTGTAATTCACTAGCCAGAAATATTGCCTCTGTACTCTCCCTGCCTGACATGAACCCACACTATATTTCCTTTATGTCCTCTCTCGCCCTTAACAAATTTTCGTTCACTTTTTCGACAACTTTCATAACCTTGTAAGTATTCACGATCAAATCCTTCAGTCTGTCATCTAAAACCTCTCGTCTGGCTTCCAGTTGCTTTCCTTGTCACCACCCATCTTCCAGGCTTTTTTACGATCTTCTTTTCTCCTGTATCGCTGTGCATTAGTCCACCACCATGTTACTGCATGTCTGGTTGGGCCCTTCATTCAGCCACACAGCTTGCCAGCCAAACAATGAGTGATGTGTGAAGGCAACAGCAGCTAGTGGGTACAGTTGCCTCACTAAGCGCCCGGAGTTCGTGACGAAGGGAGGGGAGGGGAGGGTTCTGTACGAGAAGTGTTTCTTTATAAACACTTTTGGGCAATTCGTTGTTGCTTATGCATCAATTACTTTATTTTAAAAACCATTTTAAGCACAAAAAAACGTGTACCAGTAAACTGTACTACTGTTTTCGGCTGCTGGTTCCAATGATTATTTTTTTATTCACACAAAAGTTGTTCCTCAAAAATAGAAAGCCCCCATTAAGAAAAAAGCACAATTCCGCATCGTCAAATCATGAGTTTAACTGGATTTTGAATGGCGAAAATCAGTCAATAAACAATGTTTTTTTTTTTTGTGTGATGACTAGACATCATTTGGAAAAACGAGCGTTGAAAAATTACTGCGCATTATTGACTGAAATTATATACGGAAGCACAAGTGACAAGAAAGAAACACTCACACGGTTTACCTCGATCCCTTCTAGCGTGTAAGGCTTCCTGCGCCTTCTTCAGATACTCAGCAGCTTCCTGGCACTTCTTTGAGTTCCCCCTATCATGAATAAAACTCCAAATCATGAACAGTCTACCTAAATCAGTCAAAATCCAGAGCGTTCTGTTGCTACTGACGCCAAGATCATCTGAAAGCAAAGTCTTAAACCTGTAGAGGGATAACTAAAGAATGACGCGCCCTCCCCTTCCTTGTGGGGCGGTGTAGTATAGCGTAACTTGAAAAGAGGTTGGAGTATTTTTTTAACGATAACTCGCATAAAAATGGTAACTAGAAACGCTTAGTTTTGGAGAAATAGAAAGAAATCGATTTTGACCGATTTTCCGTCAGAATTGCTTAAAAGGTGAAAGTTGTAAACATGCTTCAATCTGACCTTAGTATTAGTCACTCAGTTTTCATATAGTCTAAAACCCCTTGTCGTGTGCAGTAGTTAGTGTCATCACCCTCTACACACTTGCTAATTGACAAAAAATATTCGACGGTTTTCATATGTGGCAATGCAAATTTAAAGACATATAGACGTAAATTAATTCCCACAATATCTACTCTTTAAAAAAATTTGATAGTAACCTAAATCAACGAAAGGCTTCACCTGAACCTGACACACAACGTGACCCCGAGAGCTAGACTGACCTAACACTCACACTAAAAACATTAATAATCACCTGTTTGGGTCGTGGTGGCAGATGACTTCATCATCCTTAAATCAAGGTCGTTCCTTCACTCAGGTATTCTTCCTTAAGTAGTCATGTGTGTTCAAGGCCCCTTCTGTTCACTTTTCTCTCTCTCTCTCTCGCTCATCTCCTCTCTTCTTCTCACTCTAATCCCTCCTGTTAGTCGTGTACGCCACTTTCATAGCTCTCTTGTTTTCGTCAGATGAACACTTTTATGACACAGTTTACTTCTTAATCACAGTATTATAGTCATCTGTACATAACCTTCAAGTACTTTATAAATTTTAACTTTATATAAACATACTTTATTAAGGAGTCATTAATGAAGGTTTTAATGACCATATTCCTTCGGTATTGTGTTCAGTCACCACTTTATGTCGAGTTGCTCTTGTTTACATTTCGACAGTGCCGCCACTTTGAACTCTCCCTTTCATATCACATTTTCGGTTTGTTCTTTAATATTTTATGTGAGTCACTTTATGAGTCTTACTAACACTGATGATGAGTGAGAAGGACCCATGTTTGGTCCCTCGAGTCTTCAGGAGGAATCCAAAGCTACAACCGAGTCACTGCAGCTGTGACAGGAGCTTAAATGGGACTTGCAAGGTGAAGATTGAAGATGTCTTGGATCTTCCAGGCGGCGTGACTCACATTTTGCTCCTACCAACACGCCCATCAAGGTCAACTACGATGCCATTAACCACGCCTACGAGGATGCCACTTACTACGCCCTAGCAAGACCTCACTCACCACACTGAGAAGTCATCCACCACGCCCAAGTAACCTTCACTTCTACGTCTTCATTGCGATGTACGTGGAAGATGGTTCAGGAGGGCCGCTCACACATGAACCTGGATCATGTGGAGAAGTTCCCAAGGTGGTGATGGTGTGTGGTAACCTTGACTTCGGCTAGGTCCCTCTGCCTACGTAAACAAGTTTCCAAAACATTCACAATACTTTCACCGTGACAAATATTACATACAACTAGAAATACATCATCATTATCATCACTTGTCACTCATTTCTTTTCTCATCTTTCATTTGTTTCACTGGCTGACACTGCCTCAACACCGAGCGTCGGCTGCACCTCCCGACGACGGCCTCTACCCGTATACTCCTCATCCTCTTAGCAGCTACCAAGAATGTGGGAATCATACTGACAGGAACCGTCACATTTTTTTTTTTCAGAGAGGGATTAGAGATAATGAGATTCTTCTATAACGAGGCTACAAGAGAGATCACTGAAGACTTACGACGAAACCATAGTCTCCGTAGTGCTCTTGAGCTTCGACAAGTCGCCTCACGCGAGTCATTCCTTCACACGCAGGGAGAGAACAGAAAGGGCCTCTTGGTATTGTCTAAAGTCTTTAGATAAGTGTAGTAGTAGTGAAGATGTTGGCGGGTTGGTAGGTAAAGTATTAGTGAGTTACCTGGAGACCAGTCCCTGCCACTACCACCACCACACTGGGCAGAGAAGCACCTGCCTTCACTCGTTGCCACACGTCGCCAGAAAATAATCCTCGGGTTCCTCCCTGGTCAAAATTTTGTTGCTGTCGTTCCTCTTATTTCTGACGAGCCCAATTCTATCGTTGGTCCGTTGGGCTAATAAGTAAATACTGTAATGATAAAGGAGGATAATCTCATCATGAAGGCTATGAGATAATGAGCAGTTAAGAGATTATACAAGTGTTGCATGGTTGTGGCTGGCCGGCGTCTTGCTGCCTCAGGCTTTACCTCTGAGTTTCTCTGGCTTCCCTCTGCAACTGTACCATTCACTTCTTATTAAATTTTTTACCTAACTTTTCTCAGTCAGACACAGATCACCATGTTGCTTGTTTTGTTTATTCTAGTTCATAAACAATTATCCAAACAAGTAATGAAGATATACAGAGCTGTTGTTAGGTTAGATTAACTAATATACAGAGTCAAGCGTTGTTTAATACTTTAATGATGAAGGATTAAGATGTTATTTGTGCCATACAGTAGGGAAGAATTGTCTGTAGTACAGTCGGGGTCAAAAGTTCACACCCGCCCTAAATGAAGCAGCATCGACCCTAAATGAGATGAAACAGTCAAGATTCATTCCCGTGACTCAGTTTCACCACGGGGAGTGAACTGTTGTCCCCTACAGTACAGTATGTATGGGAGAAATCCAACATGTAGCAGAAGGGCTGAGTGAAATAATTAGAGAATGTGGGGTTTGTCTTCTCTGCCCTTTAGTGACATCAGTTTAATTCAAAGACTTCCTGTACTGCCTGAAGACCTGCGGATGTACACACACACACACACACACACCTGCAGGGGAGGGGAGCGTTGTGGGGGGGGGGGTAAAGGGGGGGTGTTGGGAAGGCAGTGTAGTAGAAACTGAGGAAGAAAACCTTAAGAAAGAAGAAGAGAGAAGCAAAAGACAGAAGAAGAAGAGGGAGGTGGATAGACACACTACAAGTTCATCATTGAGAACAGATATGAATTAAAAGTAAACTAAATTTTTTCTGATATATTTTTGTTTTACGATTTAACATTTTGACCAATAAATGACAAACAACCTCATAGTATTACTCTTTTAATGGTGTTCCTTATTGGTGGAGAGGAAGCCACTACCCACATTACCTGATAACACGTGTAAGAGTGACACCCCGTGCAGCAAGACCGGGTAACCCCCCAGGAACACCGTGTGCAGTAGGGCCAGGTAACCCCCCAGGAACACCGTGTGCAGTAGGACCAGTAACTGGGCAGGTAACCCCA